TAAGGAAAAGATGAATGAGATATGTATTCATTCTGCACCTCTTCAACATTGCATGAATTTGCATTTATAGCACCAAATCTTTTCATATATATCCATGTATTTTTGATGCCATTGATATATTTCCTGGATTCATCATGCTTACATTTCATGTATACTTTTGTTATGCATGAAGGAACATTTTAAAAATGAATATGAATTTTATATGAAGTAATACTCTGTCAAATGATTACCTAATGAGCTGCATAATACAGTAGAATGAAAACCAATTTATTTCTTAATAATAGCACAAAGCCAGATATCAGTGATCATATACCTACCCAAACAGACAATTACATGAAGCTTCCTTTTTTCATCTGTGAAGAATTTGAAATACCCTGCTGTAACCACTTCTATAGAATTTATGCCCATGTCTATCTCTGACTATAAATATCTAAGCAGTTTGTGTACTTACTGATTCATAATTCAATTTTAATTCATTGTTCTATATTCTTTCAACTCTAAGATGTGCATTTTGTGACTCCTGAACATTTATGAGATCTCTTTTCTCCTTATTTTATCAACATTTCATAAAAGATGTGTTATTCTTTAAATTTTTTATTAATTTATTTTTACATTTAAATCCCAGTCCCTCCTCCCTCCTCTCCTCCTGCTTTCCCTACCTCCCATTTGCTCCTCGAGAGGGTAAGACCTCTCTTTGGAAGACTACTGAATCTGTGCTGTCATCTTGGTGAGGCAGAACCAAGGCACCTCTCCACTCTTACACCCTTTTGTCTAGGCTGAGAAAAGTATCTCTCCATATAGAATGAGCTCCACCAACTGTTTGTGCATTAGAGTTAGATCTTGGACCCACTGACAGTGGCTTCATATAGTGTCCCTGTCTCATCATTGTCATCTATATTAAGGGAGTCTAATTCGATCTTACACAGGTTCCCCATTTGTAAGACCTGAGTCAATGCTCTCTCACTACCTAGGGTGGGCTGATTCTGTGTGTTTCCCCATCTTTGTCTTGATTCCTGTGTTAATATTGTAGCTCATTCCCTACTTTGATTGTACTCCAGAAGCTTGGCCCATTGGGTAGTTGTGGATTTCTCTATCTGTTTCAATATGTTCCTGGAAGAGGGTTCTAGCTTCTCTGGGATTGTGGATTGTAGGATGGATATCTTGTCTATCTTTTGCTTTATGTCTGGTATCCACTTATTAGTGAGTACACAATGTATTTGTTTTTCTGGTTTTGGGTTACCTCACCCAGGATTTGATTGTTTTTAATTGACTTCCCTTGGTTTCTTGAAGGGATTTGTTGATTTCTTGCATTTTTTGTTTGCCTTTTCCTCCATTTCTTCCACATTTTGTTGTCTTCAAGGGTTTCTCTCATTTCCTCTTTAAGGACCACTATCATATTCATAAAGTTATTTTAAGATTGCTTCTTCTGCTTCTTTTGATTGGGATGTTCAAGTCTTGCTGGTATAGAAGTCCTAGTCTCTGGTAGTGCCATAGTACTCTTTATGTTGTTGAATGTGTTCTTATACTGTTATCCAGTGGCTGTAGGTGGGTTCTGTGATTCAGGGGTCTCCCTTCCTCTAATTGGTATAGGTATGGCCAGTGGCTTAGCTGGTGGCTTTTCCTCTCCCAGTGTATGTGGGGCCAAGGCTCCAATGGTAGCAGAAGTGGGGCTGGATGGTTTTGTGTGGGGGGAACATTCCACCAGGTCTCTGGGGATTTGTCCAGCAGAGATGGGGATGGTAATGTCTCCAAGACAATTAGGGTTTAAGGGTTGGGGGCTCCATCAAGGAATGCAGGAGCTCTCATCTCCTGTAGGTGAGATGTCAAGGCTCCAATGGCATTAGATGTTGTGTTGGATGGTTTGACATGTAGGAAGGGTACCCCAAGAATTCTGGGACATTGGTGGGAAGGGATAGGGCATTTGACTTTCTCTGGGCAATTGGGGCTTTAAGGTTAACAGCCCCCAGTACACAGACATGAACAATAAATAAATAAATGCAAATTACCCTGATAGGGAAAGAAACAAACAAATAGAAAAATCATAAATCACCATTGGCTTCATTTTCTATTGCCATTTATGCCTAGGCATGGGCCTGTCCTTCAGTGTGGCTCATGTACTCTGTGAGACTTTTTGGAGAAAACTAAGCTTTCCTCTCATTTCTAAGCAGGTCTAATTTTCTGCAGTGATTAACTGGAGAAGTGGGAATTCTCTTCTTAAAGTACCTGAAGTAATGAAAATTGGACACTAAGGAAGTGGAAATTGGCTTTCAAATGGGCTCATGTCCTTTCCTCATTATTTAATAAATATCTGGAGGTGGAAAATAAACCTGGACAGATTATGTCCTAAAGGAAGCTCTAGATAAAGACGTATTAAAATGAGCAATGGCCAAATTTATTCTTATAGTAACAGCTACATCTAATTTGGTGAGAGACATCAGCTGCATGAATGATATCTTACTCTCAGATCCCATACTTTAAGCTATGGTACTCCTTTGTATATGCCTCTGTAGTTATAGTATTACAATATTCTAACAGAATCCTGTGGGGGATCTATTGTTTGTGCCTTAACAAACTCATTGAAGATCATAATGCATACCCAGCCACACTAGTTAGCTATAGATGCTGGGCAGTGGTGTCATACATCTTTAATCCCAGGACTCAAGAGACAGAAGTAGATGGATCTCTTTGAGTTCAAGGTCACCCAGGGCTATTTAAGTGTGAACTAGTCTAAAAGATTAACAGAACTCACGGCTTTAACCTCAGAACTAGAGAGATATATAAGGGAGAAGCAAAGTCAGTCCTAGGCATACAGTCTCCAGCTACTGCCAATTAGTCTCCATCCACATAAGTGAGAGCATAGCAGTCTAGGATTCCAAGGCTTAGTGGAGAGCAGTGTAATCTGGAGATACAATCTGAGGTTTGGTGGTCACCACCCTTCCCTCTGAGCATTGGTAGAGGTGAGAACTCCTTAGCAGTTGTCTGATTTGCTTCTCTTCTCTTCAGCTTAAACCCAAAGGCCTGTCTTTGGATTTTTATTAATCATGTTACAGATTCCAACATACATATCAGCTCACATATACAAGGACTGCTTTTATTTAAGAACAAATAATTTTCATTATTATTAAGTTACTTCTGTCTTCTCTGTGGAAAAATAATGATCTGAAAAAATAAAATGAAAGATAGACTTATTTTGCTTCCTGGTGTTTATTAAAGTACATACATAGTATGATTCAGGTGAGCCACAGTTGGTGAGATTTGGGTATATTAACTCTTCACATAGTACAGGACAGGTAAACTGAAATTGAAGTACAGAGTTTGAGTTAGATAGAACCTTCAAAATTATGTAACTATTGACATACTTCCACCATGTAGGCTCAAACTCTTCAAAATCTTACAGTCTCCCCTAATTGCCAGAAACTGAGTGTCACAAAAGACTGAATTACAGAAAGAACAAGTCATCAACAAAATATCCTGAATTTCAGACCCACCCCATCCAATATCTAAGAGTAGTTGAGATAATCTGGGCCATGATGACACATCCCATAACATTAGGTCACTTGCTCTAACACACATTACCTCAAAGTGGGTTCAGCTAGAAAAAAAAATTGGTTCAGCTCCACAGCTGGCATGTGGCCTTCCTCAGCAAAACGCAACAGATTTAATATGCTCTCAGGCCCTCCCCACCTTAAAGTATTGTAGCCTTGCCTTAGACCATCATCAGTTAATTCTAAAATCTTGATGTGAACTTCCGTGGAATCCTCAGGTTCAATGTAGCTGAATTTATGTCGAGATCCTTGATACAATTGGATTTGAGTTTTGTCAAAGGCAACATACATGGATCTATTTGCAATCTTCTACATGTTGATATCCAGTTATGCCAGCATCATTTGTTAAAGAGATTTTCCTTTTTCCATTTTACTATTTTGGCTTTGCATTTAGTTTAAACATAAACAAAATAAAAAAACAAGGCTCCCCACATGCAGAGGGCCTAGTTTGGCCCCACACAGAATCCCCAGCTGTCAGCCTCGAGTCCCCACTAGCTCCCACTAGCTCAGGTCAGCTGTCTCTATGGGTTTCCCCATCATGATCTTGATCACCCACCTACCCACCCTGCTTGCTCATATAAACCCTCCTTCCTCTGCAGTTAGTGGATAAAGGTTCTATGATGACAGTTAGGGTATTCACTAATCTGATTACAGGAGAAAATCAGTGTGGGCACCCTCTACAAAGAGTCTTAGCTGGGGTCATCCTTGTGGAATGCTGGGAACTTCCCTAGTGTCAGGTTTCTCCCTAGTCCTGCTGTGACTCCCTCCATGGAGATGTCTCTTTCATTGCTCTCCTACATACTTTAACCAACTCCACCATCCAATTCCCTCATGTCCTTATCTCCTGTCCCCTCCCCTTTACCACCCATTCACCCCCAGGTTACCCAGAAGATCTCATCTATTTCCCCTTCCCAGGGCAATCTGTGTGTCCCTACTAAAGAATGGATTTTGAATGATGAATAAGAGCCTTCTATGAGAGAGGATATTGTAGGCAGGGGTAAGTGAATGTAAAAATACCTGTAGGTGTAGCTCATTGAACTAAATTTAAAGTACTGCACAATAAAAGCAGCCCTGGGCAAAAGGACAAACTAGAGGAAGAAAGTCAATAACTTCACCTGAGTTTCTGATAAGAAGCAATAGCCTTTGGATCCAATGATAACACAGGTTGCATGTAAAGAGACATTTCTCCTAGTCAAATTCTAATATCCAAGTGGACACATGCATGATTCTTTGCCAACTGCTGAGTCCGATTCTGCACCTGACTCTTGTCACTGTGGGTGGGGAGGCACAGCGGTGTTTTCATTGGCTGCAAGGCCAGATTCACCCCCTTCCCACTACTTAAGCACTGAGCTTGGCCTTCTTGAGTGACAGCTAGGCGGGAAGGGAGCGCATCAGGCTCAGCCCTGGGAGGTGAAGCACACACAGCACAAAAGAGACTCGACTGAAGAAGCAGCAATGGACCTGGTTCTAAACTTTCCCATGGAGACCTGGGTGCTCCTGGCTACCGGCCTGGTGCTCCTCTACCTGTGAGTAAACTACCCAGACTCCTCTCCTCAGTGACCAGGACTTGGGGATGTGAATTGGATGACTTTTCCTCTAATCGTTTGGAAACATCCAATGAGAAAATGAAGGGGATGTTGCTTAAGTGTAGGATGCTACGATGCAAGGTGTTGCTGGTCTTATGTAGATCCCTCCAAAGGGATAAATAGCATTCCTCATCTACCAACTTCCTCTTTCTATGTATAGGAGGATTGGGTGACCTCATTTAGACTTGGGGTATCCTCTGACTGAGGCTCAGTTCCCCCCCCCGGGTTAGCCAACCAGAGCTCAGCAGAAGCAGATTACAAATAACTGGTCACTGTGTATATTGGGGGGCCTCTTCCACAAGGTCTCAGGGTTGTGGAGATGGAAAGAGATTTCTGTCATCTTCGCCTGTGTCCTCTTATGTGGGAGATGTATCACCCCATATACACATGGCTAGTTTCTGCTTCCTTGTCTCACCTCAAGGACTGTTTATACAACGCCCTTAGTATACCCCAAGCTGCATGGTAAGCTCATCCCTGGAGATCTCTGCTCAGCTCTTGCACACCCCAAGATCAGTCCTTGTGTATAACATGCAGAATTATTTGTTAATCTTCAAAGCAAAGAAGACCTGACTGTGATTCTTTCCTGTTGCCATTTCCCTCCAAGTCCATAGCATAAGGAGTTACTCCTCCCTGGCTATGAGATCTACTGGCCTCCTCAAACAGCAGACACTCTGAATGAATTAGGATGTTAAGTACTTTTCTCTAAGTTCTACTGAGAACATCATTCAAAACATCAATCTCAGTACTTCCTTTCTGTGTTGGGATGCCTTCATAAGGGTACAAGTGAAGAGAGGTTATCCTGAGTTCCAGGATAACAAATGTGACTGTGACCATCACAAACAGCTCATTCTACTGGCGCTCTCTCTCTCTCTCTCTCTCTCTCTCTCTCTCTCTCTCTGTGTGTGTGTGTGTGTGTGTGTGTGTGTGTACACCTATGAGTCCATGAATACTAGATGCTCCCCCTCACCAAACACAACACATTTGACTTCTATCACCATTTAACATTAATAAAGGACAAACACTCATTGCAATGTGAAGATTTCTATTTTCTCAATCGAATAGAAATAGAATTTCAAGCATGGTTTTATTCGTTGAAGAAAAGTATTTCAGATATTGTGACATTTTCCCCATCTGATCATGTTTTACAATTAATTGAAAAAGGTTTCATTGCATTGTATTTGATCCTAGAACTTCTATATCACCAGCAACATTCTTTCAGAAGATTAAAGTGCAGCTGTTACTCTCAGTTTTGTAACACAGATTAGGTAAAATGACTTTATCTGTTTCTAAGTGTCAGGAATTTAAGCCTAATACATAAGCAAATATGTGGGATAGATTATATGTATGCTTTGAAATAAATTTAGCAGGGTTTTTTCAGTTCAATAGTTAATGCTGTGCCTGTCCATTGGGTCATGTGAATTTCTCAGTGTAGGTGGATAAGGAAGAGAATGGACAAGTGATGACATAAACTCTGTCCAGGTATGGGTTAGAACAGTGGTTCTCAACCTGTAGGTCATGAACCTTTGGGAGTCAAAGGACCCACTCACAGTGATCACATATCAGATATGCTGCATATCAGATACTTATATTAAGAGTCTAACATTACAAAGTAGGATGAGATAACTTGGGGTGACCACAGCATAAAGAAATGTATTAAAGGGTCGCAGCATTAGGAAGATTGAAAACCACTGAAGATCACTAGAAGGGCAGACCCACTGGCGTCCAACCAGTTCCCTAGATGACACAAGCAAATGAAATTATGTAGAAGCATTCTGGCCTGAATCGCACATTAACAGTGATGGTTGGGGACGTTTGTAAATAATTCACTTTAGGACTTAGAGCCAAAACAATTCATCTGCTTTGTGGGTTTGGGGAGTCTCTCAGGTAATGTGAAGATAAAAATGAAGATGAAAATTAGTTGCTACTGTTGAAGTTCTTGTTGTTATTTATTGCTTACTTGTCACCTTCCACTCCAGCTTGAATGCTACAGTTCCTGTGTCTGTAACTGGTGAGCCCACGTAACACACAGTGGACATCTCTAAGAATTTATCTCTCACTTTATAGATATGGAACCTGTACACATGGAACCTTTAAGAATTTGGGAATTTCAGGACCCAAATCACTACCTTTCATGGGAAATATTCTTGCATACCAAAACGTAAGTGTTGATTGAGGACTCTACTTGGCTTATTGTGGTTGTCAAAACTGGTTTAATTCCTTCAATTAGAAAGGGTAGGTCTTGGCTTAAAGTTCTCAGGTATTATTACTGTTGTCTTTGGAGCTTTGGAGCTTTTGGTGCAACTAATCAGCTCAGACCTCTGGTGTATCTGTTCTCATGTTGAGGACTTGTTCAGATTTGTGGGTCTCAAAAGAACTTTTGCCCTTTTTTCCAGTACGTATTCTAGCAAGAGACAGTAGTGCCCCTGGAATCTTCTTAATTTATATTTGTTTGTTTGTTTGTTTGTTTGGAGAAGAGAGAGAGAGAGGTGATGGTGTGTACATGAAGGTCAGTGAATTGCTATGGGAGTCCTCTCTCTACTTCCACACCCGGCACTTGGGATCACACCCAACAAACCTGGGTGGCAGGTGCCGTTACATACTGAGCCATCTCACTGACCACTTTTGTTTCCATAGCTGAAAATTTCACAACTGAAACTTCATAGATTTTTGCTTAGTTTTGCTTTTCAGTTTATAAATTGTTCTAGTTTCCTTTCTGTTGCTTGGATTACCTACGCTGAGCAAAGGATGTGACTAGGTGGTTTAGAACACCTGCTCTTTCGGAGAACCTGAGTTTGGTTCCCAGCACCCATGTGCCACATGGCAACATCTGCAACTTCAATTCCAGGGGCTCTGACACCTTCTTCTTGCATCCTCAGATGCAAGGTGTGCACACAATGTACATACATACATGCAAGCAAAACACCCATATACATAAAACATGAATAAATGTTCAAAATAAAACATTGTGAGCACTGCAAATTAGGGAGGGAAAGGTTTTCTTTCATCTTACTGGTTGGGATTCATCATTGACAGATGTGAGGTCAGGAACCTGAGTCAGAAACCATGGAAGAATGCTGCTTCCTGACTCCCTTGGGCTCCTGTTAGGTGTCTTTCTTATACAGCCCAGAACCATCTGCCCAGGGGATAGTGAGCCGGGTCTGTTGATGGGGGATATCCTTCTGTATGTTGTGAATATATGTTTCTCTTATTTGTTGATGAATAAATGCTGATTGGCCAGTAGTCAGAAAGGACGTATAGGTGGGGCTACCAGATGAGATTCTGGGAAGAGGAAGGGCAGAGAAGCAGTCTCCAGAGAGAGATGCCATGTAGCTGCCGAGGGAGCAAGAGGGCTGGGCATCACCAGTAAGCCAAGACAACATGGGGATGCAAAGATTAATAGAAATGGGTTAATAATTAAGAGAGAGCTAGTCAATAAAAAGTCTGAGCTAGTAGTTTATAATTAATATAAGCCTCTGTGTGTTTATTTGGAACCGAATGGCTGAGGGACCAGGCAGGACAGAAACTCCGACTATAGTCTCATATTGATTAACCATAGAGGTAAGCCCCCACAGGCGTTGACTGCACAGGCCAATCTGATCTTAGAAATCTCTCAGTGGAGAACTGGAGACTCCATTATCATATTATGGGCTCTTTCAAGCTGATAATTTTTAAGAAGTAGAACAGGAAGTAAAAAGTCATAGAAATTGCTTACTTAGCAATGTTTCCTGTAGTTGTAGCTCCTGTCTGTCTGTCATTCAGTGGGGACCCTGAGAAGCCAGTTCTCTCTTTCTTCCCCTGCTTGTTTTCTCACTCAGGAATGCGCCTGAGACTCACCCACTCTCTAGATCAGAAGAGGTCTGGGGTTTTTTCAGTACCTAATTTCCGTGGTATTCAAGGGACAGCTCATGAGATAAATGAAGGAGACTCTAAATATGGAGATATATGATGACGCCTGTCCCTAGGACTGTCTGTTTCACTTAAGTTCTGTTTCCTCTGGTACCTAAGAAAGGAATAACTTGGAGTCCTTGAGCATTTAGGGATGACATGTGGGGAAGCAAAAACACTTTAGAGAGACATGGTATTCACTGTTACTCATAGAAGAGAGTAAGTGGCCATTAGTGAACAATGTTGGGGGAGTCTGAACGATTACAAGGCCCCCATTTCAAATATGTCCTGTATTCTCTCTCCCTCTCACCCATACACCTAGAAACAAAAGCATTCTTCTTGCCAGTGATGGATAGTTAGCCTGACTTAGTATGATTCTAGTCATTTAGTTATAGATAGTCCCAATGAGAGATAAGCACAGTCTACCTAAATTAGTAGTCAGGGCAGCAAGATAGCTCAGTTGGTAAGTGTGTCTGTCACCAATCATAACCACCTGAGTTTGGTCCTTAGACTCCACGTGGTGGAAGGAGAGAATTGACTCCCAGAAGTGGTCCTCAGTTCTACACACAAGACATAAAAATAATGATAATGTATTTTTATTTTCTTTCTCTTCCCAGGGATTTTGGGAGTTTGACAGACAATGCCATAAAAAATATGGGAAAATATGGGGTAAGTATTCTAGAAACTTCCTTTGGCTTACTTGAAATGACGGCATGTCTCAATGTATAGACACAACCATATCCCATAGCATCTTGAGTTGAAATTATGATTCTAAGAATTATAGCGGCTTTTAGTACACGAGTCCCATATGCCTCTGGGTACCATAGTTCACAGACTGAGTTAGTCTGATAAAGTTGCATTTTAACTTTTCTCTTAGACTTTCAAGACCAGGGATGGATCACTTGATTATCTACCCAGTGTCTGACTATTTAATTCAGTATTCATGTATACACCACCCAGATTTAATAAATATTCCCATTTATGTCTAATTGTGATCTCTTTGTAGAACTATTTTGTCTTTGCTCCTGTCCCCGGCCCCCCACATGAGCTACATTCTACTTAGCTTCATGAGGCTCCTGTGGTATGTGATCTGAATGCCTTACTGGAACCAGTAGTTCATACAACTGTGTATTGTGCAATTTGTATTATGGATTTTGTGACATCTGAATCAGTATCTGGGTTCTGGGCATGCCAGCAACAGAACCCAGCTAGTTGGTTGAATCCTCTCTGCTTTGCCAACACAGGTTTTATGAGGGTCGACAGCCTGTGTTGGCTATCATGGACCCAGACATGATCAAAACAGTGCTGGTGAAGGAATGCTACTCTACCTTCACAAACCGTCGGGTAGGCATCCATTTTTTAAGTTATTTCAACATCTATTCATATGTTTACACATTTGTTAGCTCTTTTGGTGTATATTACTCTCCTCTCTCTCTTTCTCTCTCTCTGTCTCTCTCTCTCTCTCTCTCTCTGTGTTTGTGTGTGTGTGTAGTAGTAGTAGTAGTAGTAGTAGTAGTAGTAGTAGTAGTAGTGGTGGTGGTGGTGGTGGTGGTGGTGGTGGTAGTGAATGTGTAGTGTGTTCACACATGTGTGTAGATGTCCCTGACCAACACATGCAAGGAAGAAGGAAGACAAAGGAAAATGACAGATGCCCTATCCTTTCACTCTCTCATCCCGTTAAGATGAAGTCTCTCACTGAACTTGGAGTTAAGCCAGCAGCCAGAAGCCCTGACATTTTCCTGTCTCTGCCCCTCACACAACAGGGGATACAGGCATGCATGGCCACGCCCAGCTTTTAAAGTTGATGATTGGGATTTTTTACTTACCAAGCAAATATTCTTACCCACTGAGCCATCTCCCTGGTGCCATGTTTATGCATTAGGTTATATCATGAAGTGATTCTAACTTCATAGGGAATTGAGCAAAAATGGACAAGGAGGTTCTATCTACCCTTCTTCAAATTTTTCCCATGGTAATATCTGTAATAAGGGTAAATTTAGTATGTTTCTGTGACAGAAAATTGATAGAATTGATACATATTATTCAGTTATCATCTATTTTATGTGTCCTTAGTGTGTGGGTGTGTGTGCGCACGCACGCGTGTGTGCACACGTGTGCACATGTGTAATTCCATACTAAATTAACACATGTGTACCTATCTATAACAACCAACAGTCAAGACAAACTCTTCCTTCCATGCTGATAAGGCTTCCGCTTGCTAGTCTGATAGAGTGGCCTTGTGTAGCTTGGTTTTTTTTCTTAATAGGAATCTATGATTATTTTCTTCCTTATTAGCATATATATTATGCAAAATAATGTGTTTTCTCATGACATTTCTTATCATATAAACTTTGTATTTTATAAACTTTGTTGAAGGTATTTATCAATTGTAGGAGCTCCCTAGTAGAGTTTTTTGGGTAACTTATGTAAATTATCGTATCAACTGCAAATAGTGAAAGTTTGACCTCTTCCTTTCCAATTTGTATCCCTTTGGTCTCCTATTGTTGTCTTATTGCTCTAGCTAGAACTTCAAGTACAATATTGAAGAGGTGTGGAGAGCCTTGTCTTGTTCCTGATTTTAGAGGAATTGCCTTGAGTTTCTCTCCATTCTTTTTCATGTTGCCTGTTGGTTTGCTGTATATAGCTTTTATTATGTTTACGTATGTTCCTGTTATCCTGGATCTCTCCAAGAACTTTATCATGAAGGGGTGTTGATTTTGTCAAAGACTTTTTCAGCATCAAATGAGATGATCATGTGGTTTTTCTTTTGTAGTTCGTTTACATGGTGGATTACAATAATAGACTTACGTATATTGAACCATCCCTGAATCCCTGGTATGAAACCTACTTGATCATGGTGAATGATTTTTCTGATGTGTTCTTGGATTCGATTTGCCAGTATTTTATTGAGTATTTTTGCATCAGTGTTCATGAGGGATATTGGTCTGAAGTTATCTTACTTAGTTGTGTCTTTGTATGCCTTGGGTATCAAGGTTATTGAAGCCTGGTAAAAAGAGTTTGGCAAAGACCCTTCTGCTTCTATTGTGTGGAATACTTTGGGGAGAATTGGTATAAGCTGTTCTTTGAATGTCTGGTGGAATTCTGTACTGAGGCCTTCTGGATCTGGGCTTATTTTTGATTGGAAGAATTTTGATGACTGCTTCAGTTTCCTTAGAGGTTATAGGTCTATTTAAATTGCTTATCTGTTCTTGATTTAATTTTAGCAATTGATATCTATCCAGAAAAATGTCCATTTCCTTTAAATTTTCTAATTTTGTGGAGTACAGGTTTTCAAAGTATGACCTGATGATTCTCTGAAATTCCTCAGTGTCCATTGTTGTATCCCCCTTTTCATCTCTGATTTTGTTAATTAGCATGTTCTATCTCTCTCTTTTGGTTAGGCTGGATAATGATTTGTTTATATTGTTGATTTTCTCAAAGAACCGACTCTTTGTTTCATTGATTCTTTGTATTGTTTTCTTTGCTTCTACTTTATTGAATTCAGCCCTCTATTTGATTATTTTCTGGTGTCTATGCCTCCTGGGGGTGACTTTGCTTCTTTTTGTTCTAGAACGTTCAGGCGTTCTGTTAATGCTCTAGTTTGATAATTCTCCAGTTTCTTCACGTGGGCACTTAGTGCTGTGAACTTTCCTCTTAGAACTGCTTTCAAAGTGTCCCATAGGTGTAGGTATGCTGTACCTTCATTTTCATTGAATTCTGGGAAGTCTTTGATTTATTTCTTTATTTTTCCTTTACCCGGGGTGATGCAATTGAGCACTGTTCAATTTCCATGAGTTTGTAGGGTTTCTGCAATTTGTGTTGATGCTGAATTCTAATTTTAAGCCATGGTGGCCCAACAGGATACAGGGCGTTATTCCAATTTTTTTGCATCTGTTGAGGTTTGCTTTATTGCTAAGTATGTTGTCGAATTTAGAGAAGGTTCCGTGTGGTGCTGAGAAGAAGGCATATTCTTTTTTGTTCAGATGGAATGTCCTATAGATGTCTGTTAAACCAAATTGGGTCATAACTTCTGTTACTGCCATTGTTTCTTTGTTAAGTTTCTGTCTGGTGAACCTGTCCAGTGGTGAGAGTAGGGTGTTGAAGTCTCCCCCTATAAGTGTGTGGGGTTTAATGTGTGATTTGAGTTCTAGTACTGTTTCTTTTACGAATGGGGATGCCTTTGTATTTGGGGCATGTGTGTTCTGAATTGAGATTTCATCCTAATGGATTTTTCCTATGATGAATATGAAATGACCTTCTTCATCTCTTTTGATTAATTTAGTTTGAAGTCTATTTTGTTAGATATTAGGATAGCTACACATGCTTGCTTATTACATACATTTGATTGGAAAATATTTTCCTAACCTTTAACCTTGAGATAACATCTGTCTTTGAAATTCAGGTGTGTTTCTTGTATGCAGCAGAAAGATGGATTCTGTCTTTGTATCCATTCTGTTAACCTATGTCTTTTTATAGGTGAGTTAAGACCATTGATACTCAGAGATATTAGTGACCATTGATTGTTGATTCTTGTTTGCTTTGGATCCGTTTTTGATAGTGGTATTGTGTGTGAGTTTTTCCCCTATTTCTGATTCCTGGTAAAGTAAGATTATCTATTTCCCATGTTATTGTGAGTGTAATTAACTTCCTTGGGTTGGAGTTTTCTTTCCAGAACTTTCTGTAGGGCTGAATTTGTGAATATGTATTGTGTAAATCTGGTTTTGCAATGGAATATCTTGTTTTCTCCATCTATAGTGATCGAGAGTTTTGCTAGAAATAGTCTGGGCTGGGATCTGTGGTCTCTTAGTGTTTGTAGAACATCTGTCCAGGACCTTCTGGCTTTCAGAGTTTCCATGGAGAAGTCGAGTGTAATTCTGATAGGTTTACCTTTGTATGTTACTTGGCCTTTATCCTTTGCTGCTCTTAATATTCTTTCTTTATTCTGTATGTTTGGTGTTTTGATTATTATGTGGCAAGGGAGGGTCTTTTTTGTTGTTATTCAGTCTATTTGGTGTTAGGTAAGCTTCTTGTACTTTCAGAGGCATCTCCTTCTTCAAGTTGGGAAAGTTTTCTTCGGTGATTTTGTTGACTATGTTTTCTGCACCATTGAAATGGGTTTATTCACCTTCTTCTATGCCTATTATTCTTAGGTTTGGTCTTTTCACGGTGTCCCACATTTACTGGATATTTTGTGTTAAAGATTTGTTGGATTTAAGACTTATTGTCAATGAATCTCCTTCCTCTAGTTTATTTTCAGCACCTGAGAGTCTGTCTTCCATCTCTTGTACCCTGTTTATTATGCTTGCATCTCAGCTTTTCTATTTCCAGCATTACCTCAGTTTGTGGTTTTTTTATTGTCTCCATTTCAGTTTGAATTGTTTCCTTCATCTGTTTCTTTTTTCTTAGCTTTCCTTGCTTTCTTTAAGAGATTTGTTGATTTCTTGCATTCTTTTGTTTTTTTTTCTTCCATTTCTTTAAGGGATTTTCTCATAACATCTTTGAGGGCCACTATCATTTTCATGAGGTTGTTTTGAAGGTCTTTCTTTTCTGTTTCATTTGTGTTGGGATGTTCAGGTCTTGCTGGTGTAGAGTCTCTAGACTCTGGTGGTGCCATGCTGGTTTTTCTATTGTTGACTGTGTTTTTATATTGTCATCTTCCCATCCATTCTTTCAGTGGGAGCTCATGGGGTGTCTTCCTCTCCTGTTGGGTTTGGGTCTAAGGTTCTCTTCCAGGGCATTCAAGCAGGTCCAATACTCAGATGGGTCTCACAGTGGGTGCAGGTGGGAATGAGACGTTCTCAAGCACAGGACATCGGCTCTGAAGGGGACTAAAGACTCGAGCTCCGGGAGGGTGCTGGAGGGGACTGTAGACTGAGGTGTGGCCAGACTCAGGATGGTCCTATCTGGCAGGACAGGTCCACTCTAGGTATGGAGCAGGCCCAGGGAGATGGAAGCAGGGGGATTTTGGGAGTTGAGGCCCAGAATAGAGCCCCCACTCACCTCAAGCATAGGGCAGGGGCTGGAGAGGACTGAAGACTCCTCTACATATTATTCTTAGGTTTGGTCTTTTCACAGTATCCCAATATTTCCTGGATATTTTGTGTTAGGGATTCGTTGGACTTAAGATTTTCTTTGGTCGATCACTCTATTTCTCCTAGTATAGCTTCAACACCTGAGATTCTCTTTTCCATCTCTTGTATTCTGTTGGTTATGCTTACATCTGTAGTACCTGATGGTTTGCCCAGCTTTTCTATTTCCAGCATTCCTTCAGACTGTGTTTTTTATTGTCGCTATTTCAGCTTTCAACCCTTGCAGTTTGAATTGTTTCTTGCTATTTTTTGCTT